GTCAATGAATGAGAGACGCAACAAATCTCAATAATCGTATGAAATGTGCAACTAATTAAATTCTGTTAACTATAAGATTTTTGACTTTTGAACTAGAAGTTTTTAATTAAATTATGTGAAATTGTTACCTGTAGTTTTTTTTTTCTCATACCTATTCTATAATTCTCATATAAAATTCTCCAATTTTATGATGAAATTTTGACCCCATACATTCTCAAAATTCTAGACCTCTATCACATTAAATTACCGAGTTTTTAAAATTTGATATGATGCGGAATTCCAAATTGTAGCTCATAAAATAAAATTTCTTCAATACGATCCCCAAAAGTTTTCCTATTAAGTTACTCAATAGGGAATATAAAAAGATAGCCACTCCAGGATAATTAGATGCGTTATGTGATGTTGAACCTAACTATACTTTAAGTAGTCTCATACAACTAATCTAAATTTTCTTTTTCTACCAAAAAAAAAATAAAGAAGGGTTTGTCTCAAGATTCTCTGTGCTTGTAGGAGTACTGTATTATCAAATTTGGTCATTCGGACGAGTTTACCCCAACTTGCCAAATGAATTATACTTTTCAATTGACGTCTACTGGTTCTTGAAAAGAGGAGATTAAGGCCCCATTTTTTTTCGCTAATTCGAGTTTAGAATTCGAGTTTTGTTATAGTAAAAAACTCTCAGAAACAGTCACATCTAATTTTTTTACTACAGTAAAAATTTCTCACACAACATCACATCTCAACTCGAATTAGCGAACCGAACGGGCCCAAAGATAACTAATTGCTGAGTCAGATCGTGGTCGGTTAGATTTTGACTAATTACATATTCATTTTGAAAATTTGAACTTCAATAAATAATACCACCACAACAAACATATCACATTAATTTAATTAATTAAGGTCCCGCTCATTTCACCAATTTGAGTTTAAAATTTGAGTTTTATTATAATAAAAAGCTCTTAGAAACAGTCACATCTAATTTTTTTACGACAATAAAAAACTTACACATAAAGTCATATATTAACTCGAATTAAAAACTTAAATCAGTTAACTAAACGGGTCTTAATTTAACATATTTTAAATATAATTTTGTGTTTTGTTAAGGCTAAACATCCCCGTCATAAACTTTTTTTTTCCGTATACAAATTACAAGTTTGTATTTTTTTTTTTTACGAACATATATATTTGTTTAACTAACGCGGATTTGAACTTTACATATTGTGATAAAATCTGGTGTAAAATTATCTTTATAGTTAGATTATACATGCGAGTCTATTATACTGTTTTTTAAGGTACCATATAACTACTGAATGAAATTTATAATTTTATTAGGGGATTTAGGCGTAAACAACCGATTTAATGACCATCTTTTTAGTAAATAATGACCTCCCTTTTCTAAAATTAGGCAAATGGCCACATTAATCTAATTTAAGTGAATTAATGAGACGGAAAAGACAAAAACCCCATTTTCTCTATAGCACCCAGTCGACGCCCTCAAGTTTATGCGCTATCTGTTTCTCTCTCTCTTCCCTTTCTCTCACCAAGTTCTCCCTATTCTATCTTTTCCTCTCTCCCTCTCCCCTATTTACTTCTTTCTCTCCCCCTGTTCAGTTTTTTCCTCTCGATCTTGCGTTGTAGTTTGGGTAGCTATGATGAAAAAATTGCTTTATCATTTGTAGCAGATTTGCGAATGTTGATGGGCGCCGAAATCTGATGGCAACTAGATCTCCGAGACAGAGACGGAGGGAGATGCCGAAGCTGGGGTGGCGACAATACGACGTTGCAAAGTAGAGGGAGAGAAAAGAATATTAGCGTCATTCATTGATTGACCGAAGTCAAACACTGATTGACCATAGTGGTGGTGAAGCCAAAGATCTCCTCCGGTGCGAGATCTACTCTGAGAAAGAGTCAATAGTGATTGAGCAGGGTGGTTAATTATAGGATGTTTGTTTAAGGGTTGTCTTTAGTTTTGAACATAGATTTTTAGTTTTTTATAGTATTTTTTTCTCGTACAAAATTTAAATTATAAAAGTTAAAATTATGAATTATGATTTTAAATTCATAAATTAAATGTTCTATTAGTGATTCACTACGGTCAATTAGTGATTGGTCACGGTGGGGGAGAAGTCGGAGATCTCATTCGGTGCGAGATCTACTCCGGGAAGGGGAGATCTCCTATCCGTGAAGAATCATGGATTTGTGAAGAAGGGAGGAAAATAAATGATATATGTTGAAGAAAAGCTATGTAGATTAGTGGGAAACAAAAGTTTAGACTGATTGCAGAAGAACGTGAAATACAAATTACTTAATAAGGAAGAAGACGAGGCTAACTTTGGAAATCAGAAAAGCAATTAAGAATAGCCGGCCATCTATCTAATTTAAGAAAAGTGTGGCAAAATTTGTTGGGTTGGGTTGTTTAACCGCCATGGAGCCCAATTTCCCTTTTATTAGTCACTTTATTAGATGTAAATATAATTAGTGGTTAAGGGTTATTAACATGTATGAGTCTAGTGTTCACTTTAAAAAAGTAAAATTTATGATAATTCTCATCATCATGATGAACGAAATCGCACAACGAAAAATGTTAGTATAATTCTTTGTCACGTTTTTTGTTAATTTTCGTATTTATTACTTGATATGTAGACTTTATTATCACATTTTTTAATTAAATAATAATATATCATATTAAAAAAATTTACGTGTCAAACTGTGAATGTAAAAAGTGATAAAAAAAGTGACCATAACATTTCTTCTATAATAATCAACGAATCATGAAAATATATAGATAGCAACATTATGATAATGAAATAAGATTATTATCGTAGTGTTTGCAATCTTATGATAATATGATCATATCAAAATATGCAAAAAAAAAAAAAGACAAAACGAGTATCATATACAATCAATATTGCAAAAACAAATAAGATTATAATATTATATGAAAGTAGACGGTTTTTAAGATAAAGATATGAAAACAAACACTTTATAGAATTACGTTCACAATAATCACGATCAATGGTGGGCGTTAACAAATTGAAGATAATCTTTCCGTTACTTTACGCGTTTAAATTAGTAATTTTGATTTATTGATTGAAACTTTATGAGAGTAAATTTTTGAATTCAAATTTTTTATGAGATGATAAATACTTCGATAAAATCATAATTATAAATTTAAATATAAAAAACAAACGAGGTCTCAAAATCCTATCAAGATCCGCCTAAAAAGTATAGATGAGTTGGATGAGTTAGAGACGAAAGAGAGACAGGCTGGTAGACTTACTGGGCACATTTTGTAACTTTTTTTTTTTTTTACTTTTTTTAAAGTTGCCTTTTTTTTTCAATTCTTTTTAGTATAAGGAAGAGAGAATTTTGAAATTTTGAACTTATTTATATGTTTAAATGACAAAACATACAACGAAATTTAGACTTCGTTCATCTCACCGATTCGAGTTTTCAGTTTTAGGTTTTTATAGTAAAAAATTCTCAAAAAAATATCACATCTAACTTTTTTTACTACAGTGAAAAACTATTAGAAAATGTTACATCTCAACTCAAATTCGCGAAGTGAACAAGGCATTAAACAAAATAAAAGGTCTCAAGCTTCTTAAACTGCATACTACATAATTGATGGCCTAGAAAATCATTTACTGCTCCATTTTTTTTTTTTTTAAGAAAAGCTAATATTGCTCTTTTCTCTTAGGCTCGGTTTAGTAAGGAAGATGGAGAGAAGGAGGAATGAAAAGAGTTGAAGGGATGAAAAATGTGAGAGATGAGGAAGATTATGATAATTCTTTATGTTGTTTAGTAAGAAGTAGAGAGAGTTAAAAGAATGAATGAATGAATGTTTATTTAATTACTTTTTTATATTTTTTACTAATTTTATATTAAACTTTTTAAGGATAAAATAGTATTTTTTAAATTTTAATGGATAAATTATATGAATCTTTCCATTAAAGAAAAAAATACAAAATAGTAGGTCCAAATAGAAAGAGTTTTCCTCCACCTCTCTTCTCCCTCCAACTAAAAGAGATTAGGGGCCCGTTTAGTTCGCTGATTCGAGTTTTTAATTCGAGTTAAGATGTGATGTTATGTGAGAGCTTTTTACTGTAGTAAAAAAGTTAAATGTGACTGTTTCTGAGAACTTTTTACTGTAACAAAATTCGAATTCTAAACTCGAATTGACGAAGTAAACGGGGCCTAAAACTCTCTCTCTTACCGAACACACTTTTAGAGTTAACTGTTTAGTAGACGTTTTTGTGTCTGTTTTTGTTTCTTTTTCCTTTAACGCCCATTTTGATGGGGTTTTCCAAACGACGAAGTAAACGGGGCCTAAAACTCTCTCTCTTACCGAACACACTTTTAGAGTTAACTGTTTAGTAGACGTTTTTGTGTTTGTTTTTGTTTCTTTTTCCTTTAACGCCCATTTTGATGGGGTTTTCCAAACTAGATGGATTTTGGTAGGCCCAAAATCTAAAGACGAAGCAAAGTCGTCTCACTTTTTGTGCGGTCGAATAATTCACAATAATTTGCAAAACCAAAACCACAGTACTAAAAGTAATTTCAAAAAATCTTTATCATGAAAAGAGGAAAAATAATAAATATAATACCACAAACAATTTTAGGTCAAGACAAAGCGGCAGCTAGAAGAAGGAATAAAATATTTATACATATATATATATATATTTGCCTCTTGCCTAGTTGCCTTAGAAGCGAAAATACTGAACAGAAAATAAAATTAAAAGTTAAATGAAAAAGAAAACAAGTGAGATTCCAAATACCAACTTTACACATGCGAATCAGCGAAGTCCTTACACGTGCCCCTATTCCTTAAACTGAAAAGTTCGAAGCTCTCGTAAACCCCCCCATGTTTGTTCAAATTACAAGAAGGGTCCACATCTATAGGGCTACTTTCGTAATTTTGTCTCATATAGGGACCTATTTTGTTCTCCCTTGTCATATATATCTTCGTGTTCCAATTCCTATGCGTTCGCACACCCAAAATTACCCTTTTTCCAATCAGATCAAAGTGTCACAGAGAAAATATCTACATTTTTTTTTTATTTTTCCGAGAAACAGCGAGAAAATTAGGAAAGAAAATTTATATGGTATTATAACAATAATGCGCTGAGAGCGAACTCACTGGAGCAAATTCGTCACTGCTCAATCACCTTCCCTCTCCGAGAAAGCAGCTCATTTCCGATAAATTAGATTTCTGTTCTTATCTTGAGACTTTTTCGCTATAAAATTTTTCTCCGATTTCGATTTTCACTTTTTCTGCTTTTACCCACAATCTAGCGCCGGCAATCGTTCGGAAACGCATGCATGCGAGTGTGAACAATTTGTCTCTTGAATTTCTTTTTGCATTTTCTAATCGTCAATCGGATTGAACCGATCGGAATTTTCTGTTTGGATAGAAGGAAATTTTTTTAAAATAAAAAAAGAAAAAAAGGATTTTTTTTTTAAAGAGAGAGAGAGATTGAGCGTGAGCTCGGCGGAGTGAGTTTCTGGAGTATTTTGTGAGTGATCTGTGGTGGTGAGATGGGGAAGGTCGCGGTGGGGGCGGCGGTGGTGTGCACGGCGGCGGCGGTTTGTGCGGTGGCGGCGCTGGTGGTGCGGCATCGGATGAAGAGCTCGGGGAAGTGGGCCCGGGCCATGGCGATACTGAAGGAGTTCGAGGAGAAGGGTGCGACTCCGATTGGGAAGCTGAGACAGGTCGCCGACGCCATGGCCGTCGAGATGCACGCCGGCCTCGCTTCCGAAGGCGGCAGCAAGCTCAAGATGCTTATCAGCTACGTCGATAATCTCCCCACGGGGTAAAAAGATGCATCTCATTTTCCTTTTCCTCGATCTTTTTATCATTATTTTATTTGATTTATGGTTTTTGATTTAAAAAGGAGACTTTTTTTAACCAAAGACTCGTAATTGAGTAATTGACTCTTTTCCGCTGGAGATTTATGATGAAAAATTCGTTAATTTTAGAAATTGACCGTAATTTTAGTCTTTTTCCTACTGGATATTGGTAGTGGATAACTTTTTAGTTTTTATTTTTCTTTTCCTCCTAAGTGGGATTCTTTCGGTGCTTTCATCTGTTAAATATGTTATCTTTTATACTAGCTATGGATGGTTTTTTTAGGAAAGATTTTATATGTATTTATTGGAATATTTGATATTAAGCTACTAGTAAGCTTTCATTATTATCCTCAGAATTGTTGCAGGATAGGGTGAAAATTTCTCTCAGAATGAATGTTTGTTTAGTTCTTTTACATAACCAAATTGCAAAAGTTTAACATAGGATATTTGGGAAATTTAATGACTTTAGCACTTGCCTTATGTTAGTTCTCTTTTCTTATTGTGTATTTCTCTGTATGTTTCCCTTTCTTATCTTTTGGTGATGTCGCCTTTTGTTCCTTGTACGGTTCCTTTTCTTTGTCATTATTTTGCTGGCCGTAGTTCTTTATCTTTTAATTTGATGTTTGATCCTTGAGTCTTGATTTATATAATTTGATGTTTGTTATTATTGCATAGTTCGCTGGTTCTGCATCTATGCGTTATGGTTTGGTTAACAGAGTTGTGGGGTTTGGAGGTAGTATGCTAGTATTGCATCATGACATGCTTCACTCTTAGAAAATTTGGGTGTTTTCCGTGTAGGGACGATTTCATAATTTAGTAATACACGAGACACCTTAGGGAAATTATGCAAACAGAAAAGCCTCAACCGTTCTTTTGAGTAATAGATGGGATACAAGTCTGTTTTTGATCGTATTGATCATAATGAATGCAACTGAAATTGTCTAGATGCTTTACATTATTTCTGCCAAGTTCTCATGGCTCACTTTCGTCTGTTATTTTCAGAGACGAGAAAGGACTCTATTATGCTTTGGACCTTGGGGGCACTAACTTCCGCGTGCTGCGTGTACAATTAGGTGGCAAAGAAGGACGTGTTGATAAACAAGAATTTGACGAAGTTTCAATTCCCCCCCATTTGATGACTGGGTCGTCAGATGTTAGTATTTAAATGAGCAAAAGTTTCCAAATTTATGTTAGATTTTCTCAGACATTGAAGTATTTTGTAATAATATGGTTTCAGGCATTGTTTGATTTCATAGCCGGAGCACTTGCAAAGTTTGTGTCTGAAGAAGGTGAAGGTTTTCATCCTGCACCTGGTAGGCAAAGGGAGCTGGGTTTTACCTTCTCATTCCCCGTGAGGCAGTTATCAATTTCATCGGGGACTCTTATCAAGTGGACTAAAGGCTTCAATATTGAGGATACGGTGGGTCCAGTAACCTTGATTCTTTTCTTGCTGTCTTCTTTTTTGATATCCCGATTTTCTTTTCATAGTTATCGAATGTAGACCTGGTTTATGTTCTTTTGTTTTATTAAGGTGGGGACTAAAACCTGGAAAGACATTTATCACTATGGGCAAAAACAATGATGTCCATTTCCTAACTTTGGTTCTCTCTTCTGGGTAGGTGGGACAAGATGTGGTGGCTGAGTTGACCAGAGCAATGGAAAGAATAGGGCTTGATATGAGGGTTGCAGCCTTGGTAAAGCTTATTCTTTTACTTATAGTATCTTTGCTTGTTTTATTATGTTGGAATCCACAAAGTGGATATCACTTTTGCTTTGCTTTAAATTTGATCTTTCAGTACTCCCACACCCACCCCCCCCATTTTTTGTAATATTCATTCTAATCTGACAAGCTGATGTAGGTCAATGACACGATTGGAACATTGGCCGGGGGAAGATACACCAACCAGGATGTCATTGCCGCTGTGATTTTGGGCACTGGGACAAATGCTGCTTATGTAGAGCGAGCTCATGCCATTCCCAAGTGGCATGGGCTTTTACCAAAGTCAGGAGAGATGGTTAGTGTAGTTTCTAAAATTTTCATGCCGCCAATGCTTGTCATAACCAAAATTTAGAGCAGAGAAATACTTTTGAATTCTGCGAGCATATTTTGGCCCCATTCATTTCACCGATTCAAGTTTAGAATTTGAGTTTTGCTACAGTAAAAAGCTCTCAGAAACAGTCACATCTAACTTTTTTGATACAGTAAAAAGCTCTCACATAAAGTCACATGTCAACTCGAATTAAAAAAGTCGAATCAGCGAACTAAATGGGCCCTTTATGTTTCTAGTGTTGCTTTTAACAGGATCCAGATCTTATGTCCAATTTTTGGTGTTTCAATTACACTATGTTTGGTATGAATGAAAAGTGGAAGGAAAGAAAATGTTGCAGGGATTTTAGGATGGAAATTGGTAAATTAACTTGTTTGGTAGAAAGGAAATTGGGAAGGAAAAGAAAATCGAAAGGAAATTGTAATTGGTGGGTCCCACCATATTTAATCCCTCCAAAAGTGGGAGGATTTTAGGAAGAAAAATGTGGATAACTACCTAAATTACTAAATTGTCCTCATTTTGGCTCCAAAAGTTGGCGCTTTTTTTTTTCTTCAGAAAGAAGAGATAAATGGGCAATGGGCTTTCTTTCGATATGTGTATATAGGTAGGATTAAAGATATCCATATAAAAGATTTCAGTACATTAAATTAAACATCGATGATCAACCAACCTTTATCACATTCACAGTGCATTCATAGCTATAGTGCATTAATGCTATATAAGTTAAACTATGTTTTTGTACCTTTATATATGTATGTGTGTGTATATATACATAATATAGATGGAATATATGTTCAAGTTACATGAATTTTTCGAGTTAATTTGATGTTGAATACTGCATTATTTATACTTTTATTAGAAAAGAATATTAATAAAAAATATTTAGGTAAAAAAGTAATTACACCAATAATAATTTTTCCATCCCTTTAGTTTCACTTCCAATACCAAACAAGAGAAGGTAGATTCATTTTCTTTCTTCCCTATCATACCAAACAAGTCAAGGGAAAATCAAAATCTTTTCTATCCTTCTAATTTTCAATGCGTTATAATTTTCCTTTCCCTCCCATTTTCTTTCCTTCTTACCAAACAGAGCATTAGTGTTTAATCAATCATATCATGCCACATCATCCCAAGCACAAAAGAGTTGGTAAAAGCAGTTCAATTTTTTTTACATGAGTGGCACGATATGATTGGTTAGACACAAAATGGGACACCAAAATCGGACAGAAAATATGAGTCTCTTTTAACATGTCCAAGTATATCGAACATGTTTGCATCATAGGGTTATCTTGAATGTTGACAGAAATATGCATGGTCTGAAACTGGATACTATGCATTTACTGTCTACTGTTACTGTGTGTGTCATTCCAATGATATAGGTAATTAACATGGAGTGGGGTAATTTCCGGTCATCTCACCTTCCTCTAACAGATTATGATCAAGCACTGGATGCTGAGAGTTTGAACCCTGGAGAACAGGTAAGAATATTACATTTGCTTTTAGCTATTTGCTCCACGGTATGATTGCCCATATAAATGGTTGAACATGCCTCTGACTAGCCTTTCCGTTTTTGTTCACAGATTTTTGAGAAGATGATTTCTGGCATGTATCTAGGGGACATTGTACGTAGAGTTTTGTGTAGGATGGCTGAAGAAGCCGACTTTTTTGGTGACACTGTTCCGCCCAAATTGAAGATTCCTTTTATACTAAGGTATACAAAACTTATGCCATTCATCACAGTTCCGATTTCGTCTTTCTTTGAAATTTTCTTTGACAAGACTCTCTTCAGTCATATCAATTCTGAAGAGCTTATTGGTTCAAAAAGATTAGTATGATTGAGGAGTTCAAAATGTTAAATTGAACTTCTAATATCTAGCAATGCCCTTGTGTAATATATTGTAGGTTTTTTGCATCTGTAGATTTTGTGGAATTTAGACGTGATATTTTCTACTTTCCTTTTCTGATTGCGGTAGACTTAAAAGGTTTTAAATTGTCGTTGTGAAATGTTTAGGACTCCTGACATGTCTGCAATGCATCATGACACGTCTCCAGATCTGAAAGTGGTTGCAACCAAGCTAAAGGATATTCTAGAGGTACAATAATTTGCAAATGTTTTAAATACATAAAATCATATTTATCCGGCCTTAAAAGCCTTAATTTGTATCCCCTTATTCTCTTTTTGGGGTTTAAGAGAGCGGAAACCAATTAAAAGGGTAGCATTGACAGTAGTCCAACCTTACAATAAATTACTCTCAATAAATGAACTTGCATGTTGCCTAAGACCACTTGGTCTAGTGGCACTGGAGGGTTTTGGTGGGATAGGTTTGGGTGGGGGCTGCGGGTTCAATCCCGTCTTGTATTAAAAAAAAAAAAAGAACTTACATGTTAGCGTTTCCACTTGTCTCCCCCATTCCTTTTATTTTAACCTATTCGGTTGGCATACTTTTTGAGAACTCCCAACAGCCAGAATCTTTTAATCTACAATATTTCCCTTGTGAGTTTTAGCAGGGGACTTAAATTTATTGTTCCCCCTAAAAAAAAAAAAAGAACTTACATGTTAGCGTTTCCACTTGTCTCCCCCATTCCTTTTATTTTAACCTATTCGGTTGGCATACTTTTTGAGAACTCCGAACAGCCAGAATCTTTTAATCTACAATATTTCCCTTGTGAGTTTTAGCAGGGGACTTAAATTTATTGTTCCCCC